TATTTTGAAGCTTGCACTAACTGGCCCTCTTCACAATAAAAAGGCCACCTCACAATAATACCAGGGCACTGCAGCCCTGCTAGCTAGGACACCCCCCTACAATAAAGAGACCACCTCACAATAATATCAGCACAAGCAGTGCAGCAGCACCTGCACCCCATCATTCCCAAGCTCCATGTGACACAGACAGGCACAGAGACACAGAAACAAATAGCCACAAAGACACCTTATTCAGCGCTTTTTTCAAAAAGCCATCCAGCCCTGCAGTTTGTTCAGCCTGCAGATCACTGCAGGCCGCAGAAGCTGGCTCTCAAAAAAATCTAGTACTGAAGACCTTAGACTTTTCATCCTTGCATGGACTTCTGCACAGCATGGCTCAGCAAGCGGTGCCCCCCTACAATAATAGCATTACCCAGAATAATAGCCAAGCCCTGCAGCCACTGGCCACCAAATTCCCAAACCCAAAGCTCTAATGAAACAATTCCAAAATCCCAAACTTCATCAGTACAAAACTTGCAATCCCAAGTACTCAGCTTGTACTGAAGACCTTAGACTTTTCATCCTTGCATGGACTTCTGCACAGCAAGGCTCAGGACTTCTGCACAGCAAGGCTCAGCAAGCGGTGCCCCCCTACAATAATAGCATTACCCAGAATAATGGCCAAGCCCTGCAGCCACTGGTTGCCACATTCCCAAACCAAAAGCTCCAAACAATTCCAAGATCCCAAACTTCATCAGCACCAAAACTTGCAATCCCAAGTACTCAGCTTGTACTGAAGACCTTAGACTTTTCATCCTTGCATGGACTTCTGCACAGCAAGGCGCAGCAAGCGGCGCCCCCCTACAATAATAGCATTACCCAGAATAATAGCCAAGCCCTGCAGCCACTGGCCCCCAAATTCCCAAACCCAAAGCTCGAATGAAACAATTCCAAAATCCCAAACTTCATCAGTACAAAACTTGCAATCTCAAGTACTCAGCTTGTACTGAAGACATTAGACTTTTCATCCTTGCATGGACTTCTGCACAGCAAGGCTCAGCAAGCGGCGCCCCCCCTACAATAATAGCAGTACCCAGAATAGTGGCCAAGCCCTGCAACCACTGGCCCACAAATTCCCAAACCCAAAGCTCCAAACAATTCCAAAATCCCAAACTTCACCAGCACCAAAACTTGCAATCCCAAGTACTCAGCTTGTACTGAAGACCTTAGACTTTTCATCCTTGCATGGACTTCTGCACAGCATGGCTCAGCAAGCGGCGCCCCCCTACAATAATAGCATTACCCAGAATAATGGCCAAGCCCTGCAGCCACTGGTTCCCACATTCCCAAACCAAAAGCTCCAAACAATTCCAAAATCCAATACTCAGAACTATGCTTAGATTTTCTGTTTCCCAAAGTACTCAGCTTGTACTGAAGACATTAGACTTTTCATCTTGCATGGACTTCTTTGCACAGCAAGGCCCAGAAGCGGCGCCCCCTTCAATAAATTGAGCATTTACCAGAATTAATAGCCAATCTGCAGCCACTGGCCCCAAATTCAAAACCAAGCTCTAATGAAAACAAATTTTCCAAATCCCAAACTTTCATCAGTTAAAAAACTTGCCATTCCCAAGTACTCAGCTTGTTTATGAAGACATTGACTTTTATTGTTTTGTTTTTTTGTTTTTTCATTGGTTTGCAGGACTTCTGCCCAGCAAAGGCTCAGAAAGCGGGCCACCTACAATAATTAGCAGTACCCGAATAGTGGGCAGCCCTGCAACCACTGGCCCCCAAATTCCCAAACCCAAAGCTCTAATGAAACAATTCCAAAATCCAAAACTTCACCAGCACCAAAACTTGCAATCCCAAGTACTCAGCTTGTACTGAAGACCTTAGACTTTTCATCCTTGCATGGACTTCTGCACAGCATGGCTCAGCAAGCGGTGCCCCCCTACAATAATAGCAGTACCCAGAATAATAGCCAAGCCCTGCAGCCACTGGCCCCCAAATTCCCAAACCCAAAGCTCTAAACAATTCCAAAATCACAAACTTCATCAGCACCAAAACTTGCAATCCCAAGTACTCAGCTTGTACTCTACAGTTCCTCCAGCAAACCATCAAAGCTACAACCCTACAATGCCAAGCAGCACCCCTCAAATCTACAGCTGGCCAGCCCTTCAGCAGGCCTCAGCCTCTGCAGGCAATTCACCAGCTGCATGATCTCCATGCAAACTACAGTGTCTCAAGCAAAACTCTTCAAATCTACAGTGTCTCAAGCAAAACTCTTCAAATCTACACTCCTTCAAACATGTTCCACCTACTACATGTGTGAAGTCTACATTGTCCCCAACCAACCCCTTGAAGCCTACAGCCCCTTGTGCCCCTTGCAAGCCAGCACCTCTACAGACACTTCCTCCTCCACATCTTGGGCCTCCAGTTCTTCACCAGCCTGCATGGCAAGAAGCCTTCACACCCACAGCCCTCCATGCAAACTACAAAATCTCAAGCAAAACCTTCAAACCTACAGCCCTTTAAACCCTTCAATCCTATCACCCTTGATGTGTCCTACCTACAGTTCCTCCAGCAAACCATCAAAGCTACAACCCTACAATGCCAAGCAGCACCCCTCAAATCTACAGCTGGCCAGCCCTTCAGCAGGCCTCAGCCTCTGCAGGCAATTCACCAGCTGCATGATCTTCAGCATCTTCCACCTGCATGGCCAGGACATTTCAGACAGACAACTCCATGCAAACTACAGTGTCTCAAGCAAAACTCTTCAAATCTACAGTGTCTCAAGCAAAACTCTTCAAATCTACACTCCTTCAAACATGTTCCACCTACTACATGTGTCAAGTCTACATTGTCCCCAACCAACCCCTTGAAGCCTACAGCCCCTTGTGCCCCTTGCAAGCCAGCACCTCTACAGACACTTCCTCCTCCACATCTTGGGCCTCCAGTTCTTCACCAGCCTGCATGGCAAGAAGCCTTCACACCCACAGCCCTCCATGCAAACTACAATATCTCAAGCAAAACCTTCAAACCTACAGCCCTTTAAACCCTTCAATCCTATCACCCTTGATGTGTCCTACCTACAGTTCCTCCAGCAAACCATCAAAGCTACAACCCTACAATGCCAAGCAGCACCCCTCAAATCTACAGCTGGCCAGCCCTTCAGCAGGCCTCAGCCTCTGCAGGCAATTCACCAGCTGCATGATCTTCAGCATCTTCCACCTGCATGGCCAGGACATTTCAGACAGACAACTCCATGCAAACTACAGTGTCTCAAGCAAAACTCTTCAAATCTACAGTGTCTCAAGCAAAACTCTTCAAATCTACACTCCTTCAAACATGTTCCACCTACTACATGTGTCAAGTCTACATTGTCCCCAACCAACCCCTTGAAGCCTACAGCCCCTTGTGCCCCTTGCAAGCCAGCACCTCTACAGACACTTCCTCCTCCACATCTTGGGCCTCCAGTTCTTCACCAGCCTGCATGGCAAGAAGCCTTCACACCCACAGCCCTCCATGCAAACTACAATGTCTCAAGCAAAACCTTCAAACCTACAGCCCTTTAAACCCTTCAATCCTATCACCCTTGATGTGTCCTACCTACAGTTCCTCCAGCAAACCATCAAAGCTACAACCCTACAATGCCAAGCAGCACCCCTCAAATCTACAGCTGGCCAGCCCTTCAGCAGGCCTCAGCCTCTGCAGGCAATTCACCAGCTGCATGATCTTCAGCATCTTCCACCTGCATGGCCAGGACATTTCAGACAGACAACTCCATGCAAACTACAGTGTCTCAAGCAAAACTCTTCAAATCTACAGTGTCTCAAGCAAAACTCTTCAAATCTACACTCCTTCAAACATGTTCCACCTACTACATGTGTCAAGTCTACATTGTCCCCAACCAACCCCTTGAAGCCTACAGCCCCTTGTGCCCCTTGCAAGCCAGCACCTCTACAGTCCACATCTTGGGCCTCCAGTTCTTCACCAGCCTGCATGGCAAGAAGCCTTCACACCCACAGCCCTCCATGCAAACTACAATGTCTCAAGCAAAACCTTCAAACCTACAGCCCTTTAAACCCTTCAATCCTATCACCCTTGATGTGTCTACCTACAGTTCCTCCAGCAAACCATCAAAGCTACAACCCTACAATGCCAAGCAGCACCCCTCAAATCTACAGCTGGCCAGCCCTTCAGCAGGCCTCAGCCTCTGCAGGCAATTCACCAGCTGCATGATCTTCAGCATCTTCCACCTGCATGGCCAGGACCCTTCAGACAGACAACTCCATGCAAACTACAGTGTCTCAAGCAAAACTCTTCAAATCTACACTCCTTCAAACATGTTCCACCTACTACATGTGTCAAGTCTACATTGTCCCCAACCAACCCCTTGAAGCCTACAGCCCTTTAAACCCTTCAATCCTATCACCCTTGATGTGTCCTACCTGCAGCTCCTCCAGCAAACCATCAAAGCTACAACCCTACAGTTCTGCAAATCTACAGCCCTTCAGCCAAAAAATGTTTTACCTACATTGTCTGGCAAACTCTTCACACCTACAACCACCTGCCACACACACAGCCCAGCCCTTCAGCAGGCCTGAGCCTCTGCACCAGCAGGAAGCTCGCCAGCTGCACGATCTTCAACATCTTCCACCTGCATGGCCAGAACCCTTCAGACAGCCAAGCCCTCCAAGCAAGCTACAGTATCTCAAGCAAACCCTCAAATCTAAAACCCTTCATGCCAAGAAGTGGTCTACCTACAATGGCTCCAGTCAAACTCTTTAATCCTAGCTCAAACGCTACACCACTAAAAACAAATGCTACACCACTGAAAACAGGCAAGGCTTCATCCATGCAGGGCTGCACCAATTCACACCTACACATGGCCAACTTTAGATCCTTCATGCCGAGGTTGTTCACACAGTGCTCATTTTTCCTTGCAAGTCTCCAAGTCGGCCTCCAATGGCTGCAAAAAATCTACAAAAAGCCTAGTCCGCAGCTACACCTGTCTGCAGCTAAACCTGAAGAGCCAGCGCTTCCTGCAGTCCTACATTTGGAACCTGCGGAGCCGAGATCTGCTGCTCCTGCATGCTGCCCGCCAAGGACCTCAACTCCTGCATGCGCTCCAGGATCTGGTCACTCAAGACCCAGATGACTCCACCTGCAGGCTCCTGCAAGTGCTGGTTTGCTTCCTGCAGGAGCACCGGCAGCACCGTCTGAGGCCTCCAGCCTGCCCACCTGCAGAGCCTCATATTGTTCAGTGTGTCCACCGCTTCCTGCACCGCCTCTGCATCGCCCTCCAAGGAAGAGGCCCAGGCGTCGCGCAGCGCCCTGCACCACACTTCGATGCAAAGCAATGCGCGTCCTCCCTGCAGACCCTGCAGGCTCTGCACCAGCCCTCCAGGATGGGCCTGAGCTGGCGCTGCAGCCAGATAGCATTCTGGCTTCTGCTCCACTCCTGCATCGCGCGCTGCATGTGCCTGGCTGCATCGGCCACAAGGCCTGCAGTGCAAGCTCCATGGCTTTGCACGCAGTCTCCATTGAGCCCTGCTGCGCCTTCAACTCCTGGCACAGCATCTCCAATGACTCCATTGGTGCTGCGATGGCCTGCAGCTGCTTCTTCAAGTCCTGCACCTCCTTCCTCATCTGCATGCCGACTCCAACTGCACCACAGGCTGCACCCAACAAGGCTGCAAGGAGAGCGATCATGGCTCTGCACTGAACTTGCTACAGCACCTGCAAAAGCTGCACAAAAAGGCTGCAGCGCACAACTGCAAACTTGTCTACAAGCCCTTCACCTAACATCTCCAAAAGCCCTACCCTGCTTGCTGCAGCCCGGCTCCCACCCAGCTGGCCTCCACATCTTCAGCTCCATCGTCTTCAGCCATGGCTACAACAGCTCCACAGCTGGCCCTGTAGCTACACCACGCACTTTTGCTTCTGTTCTACAGCTGCTGCTTGCTACAAGTCTTGCTCCATGGCTGCACCCATTGCCTGCTCCAGTGCTTGCACTGCTTCAGCCCAGCCCCTTGCACACAAGAAACACCACCCCTACAATAATAACACCCCTCACATTAATGGTTAGCAACACAAACCAGCTGCCAGGCCTACACTACCCCCTACAATAATAAAACCCCCTCAGAATAAATGCCATCTACAAACCAGAATTCCACAAAAAAACTGCACCTTCAATTTAATTTTAAATTGCCCTTCACTTTTCTTCTTTCTTGTCTCTCTGCCTTCCCATCCCCCCCTCCCCCCTTCCACCCCCCCACAATTTGGACCCAGGCTTGTTGTAGGGGGGGGGGGGGGGGACCGGGGGCCCCCTATTAATCAAGAGCAAAGATTAATGTGAACCCCGGATTAAGCAGAACCCCTGCTTGATTTTGATCGGGGGGTGTCCCCTTTTTAGTGGGGATTCAGACCACTTTTGGAGGGAACACCCCCCTAATAACCTGGGTCAACATTAGACAGCGGGCGCTAAAAAAACCTAACAATGAGAACAGGGATCCAAATATTATACACCTGAACATTGCCTTGCAAATGGTGGTGTCCCTTTATTTTGGTGGAGAAAGCCATGTTTCAAATGGGCAAACTGTATCTTTTAAGGAGCCCTGGGGAATGATTGACAATATTGTACTAATGATAAACCTTGATAATCGTGACACATACTGTGGATGGACGAAATCCATTTCGCATCACCGTTCAGAAACCCTGGAATGATGATTCCGCCTTCAAATAGCAACAAACCACGGTTTCAACCACGGTGCCAAAGTGGCACGACCGGAGATCGTCCATCCACAGTCGGGTAGGAGTCAGGAATAACCGCACATTCCAACTGGTTCATGACCTGCCACGCGTGTCACCAAGACCCTAGGGTTTAGCCCCCATTAAAAGAAAGGTTGACAAAATTTGGATGACAATCCTTAGGTAAATCATGGGGGTTATATGAACCCCATTGTTTTAATGGTTTGATTTCCCTGGGAAGAGCTTCATGCAAATGACTCATGGGCCCACTTGCCACTTGCCTGGGCCAACCATGGACTTGGGGGCTCCAAGTTCGATATCCAGAATTCCCACCTTGCTCGGGAAGTTTGCGTCCGGCACTGTCTGGCAACCTGCATTTGCTGAAGTCCCCTGGGCAAGAATCAATTAATCCAGTAGTGATCGCTTCCCGTTAAAACCACCCCCCCCCAAAAAACAAAAACAAAAAACAAATCACATCTTCATTCATAGCCAATGGAAGGCGCCCCCTTCCGCGTCCGCCCGCCCCATTGTTCCCCGGCCGTCCTCGCAGCTCCTGCGGCGCTGCTCCGCCGCCTCGGCGGCGGCCATCAAAGCGCCGCAGGCCAGCGAGTGCTCCGTCTGCAGCTCCGTCAGCCTCCCGCTGCGAGTGCCGGTCGCCGGAGCGGAGCGGCGGAGCGAGCGTCGGCTTTGGCGTCGGTCGCATGGAGCTCCGGGGGAGGTTTCTTGTTTGGTTTGTGGACCCCACAAAATGGGGGGGGGTCCCGCAAAAAAGGTGTGGATGGTGGTTTTTGGGGACACGCAAAAAAAAAAAACGGGACCCTGAAAGAAGACTTGTGTTGTGTTTTTATGGACCCCAGAAAACTGGACCCTCAACAAAGACGTGGTGTTGTGGACCCAAAAAGCAGGACCCTCAACAAAGACGTTTGTTTCTTTTGAATGGACCTAAATAAAGACACATCTATAAGAGCCACAGAGCAATGCTTGGGGAGCCCGCGCGAGCTCGCTTGTGGCGTACTGCAACTTGAAGGGAATCCACGGTCGGGAGAAAAACAACATCAGCCCACATCGGCTGTTTCCCTGTAATTAGTGCTCGGATATGTATGTAGGTGTGTATGCAATGCAGCGCAATGCGCGGAATGGAATGCAACGTAATGTACTCCCACCAGGAAAGATACACAAGAAACATAATGGTAAAGGCTGGGGGCTGCCTTGATTCAGCTTGGAATGGACCCATCCACTATACTCCTTCGAGTTAGTGGACCACACCCCTTTAGGAGAGTTGGTCGACCTCCATGGAATGTGTCAAACCCGGCATGTTTGTGTTGAGCGGATTTCAATAAAATTATAAAGGGAAAGGACTCTAAAGCCACCCATCCGGCGAGGGAGCTGGCGGTCGTAGCGCGAGAGCTGATGGTCCAGCTGTGAGGACAAGATGGCGTCCAACTCCTCGTCAGCCATTTGTGGGGCACACCGGGGGAAACCAACCAGGGGTCCATCATTCCAAACCAGCTGGCGGTTTTCTTTTTGGGAGAGAGGAGGGTCCGTCATGTCGAGCCAACTTGTCGTGTTTTGCGTTGTTCGGTTGTTTTTTGGTTTGGGGGTGGAGCAACAAAGTCGGGAAAGTAAAAGTAAAAATGCTTTGCCAAAAGGCAACAATAAATACATAGGGCCTTAGGGCAAGGACCAAACATTGAACAAAACTACCGCGCAGCCAAACCATTACTTTTCGGAGAGTCGGGATTGTGGACGTGGAAAAACTGGCGGTGGAAAGAACCTTCTTTTGAGGAGCGACCAAAGCCGGCTTTTGGTTCCAAGATGGTTACTAAGGTGTACATAGGCCAATAATCCTTGTTCAGCCAGGTATGGTAGGATCCACTATTCTGGCTGTGGGTCAAAACCCTGCACCCCTGGTGAACATCAGAATAGGTGGCAACTGGATGTTCATCCACCCCAAAATGGAGCCATAGGTTATGACCCCATGGCCAAATGGCCAGGTGTGGACCTGCGAATTTGCTGCTCCGGTCCTATGGCCGTTTAGGTAGGCCGATTTTCCTTCAGCCAGGTATAGGACCCACTCAAATGGCCAGCGGGCGTGCAACTTGCTGCGGAGACTCCATGGACAGCAGCTGCTCATTCCCCGGCGCCGTGGTGCCCGGCGCCTCCGGGCTCGGGCTCGACGGGATCGCCGAATCGATTTTGGGCCCGGGGTGCGGCGGGGCTCCCTGCGGCTCCCTTGGTGCTTCGCTGCCATAATTAAAACCCGGGATTAAAATGGTCGTAATCCCAGAACCAGGCTTCAAGAATTAAGAAGGCGGCCGCCATTTATGGTTGGGATTGTCCCTTACTAACCTGCATCTACCCAGGTTTTGATTGTGCCTCGCTTGTGAATACCTCGCCGAGGGATTCTCCCAGCTTGAGACCTACCGGCCTGAATTCAGTTGAAGGTCTCACTCGCCATTGGGAAAAAAACTGACTAACATGATGATACGTCCCAACGGGAAAAGTTACCCGTGGTCAGTTGGGGGCCAGGAAGATTGATCAACCCCCCCATTTTTCAATAAATTGGGACCAATTCCTCCAGTTTCTTGGTGTCCTTGTTGCATTTGCCATAGGGTTCCCCTGGACAGACCCATCTCTTCTGCCAGTTGTATCCCTCCACAGGTTGTTGGAGCACACAAAAAGCAGGCGTCGCATCGTGCATCTTTGTTGAATAGCCGCTCCCCACAAGCTAAAGAAAGATCCAACCAAATGGGCAGGCGTTGACTTTTCTTGCACGTCCAACCAAAACCAAGCAGGCCAAGATTTGTTGGTTGAAATTCAAGCGCCGATGTGTTAGTAGTCTTTTACTACCTATGCTCGAGGGGTAAAAAAAAAACGGAACCAGGGGGTCTACAAAGAGAGGTACCAAATGGGTATGTGTCGAAATACCAGTCCCCCCAAAATGGTGTTGCTCTTGTTGGTCGCTCTTCAAAGACTTAAAAAGGGTATCCTCAAAAACACCCATCTATGACTACTTTGAAACTTTAGAGGGAATTCCCTTGGCATCACAGAAAGTCCCTAAACCCAAGTCCTCATAACCGTGTCCAAACACTGAGCGCCCTGCAATTCCTCCTTAAACATCACCCCACCATCAGGAAATTCTACTGGTGCACAAAAGGTGATGTCAAATATAGGGAAACCTGCCTTCAACTTCTCCCCCCCTCCCCCCCAAAAAACAAAAATCAAACACACCTCCAGTAGAGAGGTTAGAATAAGGGCACCCTTTTTCTGTAGTCTATTTTAGTAGGGCAACCCTCCCCAAAAAAAGAAACGGTCAATGGGCACTACTGGGGGACCTAGCCACCCATCCTGCTCCACCTTGGGTTTGTCCCGTTGGCCACTGGGAACAGCAGTGGCCATTTTACCCCGAGGATCGGACTATGATCTCTGGAGCTTCGATCAAGACTGCATATTCTCGGTTGCTTTCTGCTCCTCTGCTAAAAGTCTAACTAATAGTCTTTTGGTGGTTTAATGGAAAACCCGTTAGTTGGCAAAAAGTTAAAGTCCTAACATCCAAGCAAAATGCACCAAAGTATTTAGGGAGACCTGGAAATAAAAGGGTAACCCTTTGCGACCTTCACTAAAAATGAAGCAGAACCGTGGACCAAAAGGTCAAAAGGTCGACTCGCTTTGGGCAAGTCATGCAATCATGAATTTGTGTCTTTAGGCCACCCAAAGCGGATTTCGGATTTCCCCTTGGTTTTCCCTCCACTACAAAAAGGGGTACCAAACACGACAAAAACAAACACCTGTACCAAACCGCAGAATGGATCGACACCAACAAAAGGTTGCGCAACTCACACCTTAAAGCGAGACGAGGCCATGTCCAAGCAAACGACCCTGGCGCGAGAGATGCAGGGAATGAGAATTGGAATGACCCCGACATACACCATCCAATTGGTTCCTAGGGCTTCCTTTCTTCGGGGATCAAAATTCATTCCATTTCTCCTTCCCCCATTTGGCTGTGGGTCAAAGCAATGGGATCCCGTTTTGGGGGTGTTCGGTGAATTCACCACCCATCTTCGGACCTATTTTTGTGGTTGGATTGAGTCGGATGTTTGGGGGCTAACCGATTTGGTGTTTGACCCATGGAGATCCACTATGATCCACTTCTCCTTCCCTGCCACCCACCAAGCGCATCCGCTCCGAAGCTCGCCTTGGAGGTCTCGGAGCCGATGGCCGGCGCGGGCAGCGCCAGCTCGAACCTCCGCCCCGAGGCCGCAGCCTGCTGCACCAGCCTCGAGACGATGTTCGCCGGGAGTCTGTGAGTATAGGTCCTCCAGTCTTGGAGGTTAGACTAAGCATAACCCGACTTTTGTGGTCTGTAGTCTATTTTAGGGGAACCCACCCAGCCAAAAAAGGGGAGAGAAGGGCACTACTGCGGGACCTAGGTGAGTTGGAAGGTACCCTCCCGCCAATGGAACGTGCAAGATGTTTGGGGGGGTTCCTGGTTTTGACCATTGTTCTTTTTTAAAGGGATCAGGTGTATCACATGGAACCGTTCGACGTTTTGGGGGGGGGGGTGATGGTTTTGACGATTTGCCTTTTAAGGGGACTCCCTGTCAGGTTCCATGTTAATTGGTGGGAGGGTATTTGCTTGCTTGTTTGGTGGGAGGGGGGTAGTTTGGGGGGGGGGGGGTTGGGAGGAAGGCTTGAGGGGGTTTGGCTTTCTCGCCAATAGGGAAACGGAAGCCTACGAATGATGCTTGGCTTTTTGTGGATCTGATGCTTCTTTACTTTGACCATTTCTTTCCGGGGTTATGAAAGTCAGTCCCCGCTTGGCGAGGCCCTTTTTTCCATACCACCTGGGCTTATTCTTGGAAGCCCATTGGTAAATGGACACCAGAAGCAAACCAACGACTCGGGTCTCAAAAAATGAGACACTTCCTGCTGGTGATTTTGTGGGTACCCGGGAATAGTGGGTTTGACGTCGTATGGTTGCTCTATGTTTATTCGTTTATTCACACTATACTGATGTCTGCAGAAGTACAGCAAAGCAAGGTGAATGCTGATAAAAGAGATAAACAACCAGGCTTCTGCTACTTAGACTTACTTTGGCTCAGTGCCCCACCTCCCCCCGTTCTAATATAAAAGGGAAGCTAAACAAAAATCCAACTGTTTGGGGAGCCGCTATTTTTAGCAAAGCCAACTTTCTGCCAGGTACAGAGGTACAGTTTGCAGTGTTTCCCCAACTGTGACGGTTTCTGGTTCTGGAAAAACACGACGCGAATCAATGAAGTATATGATGGTTTCCCATTCCAAAAGGAACTTCGGGGATGACCTTCCAAGGGATTCCAATTCCGCCTATTCAAAATCCAAATCAGGCGGTCCATTTCAGAAACCTCCTGTTGTAGGGTTGGCATCATATCTTACAAAAGGTGGATATTGCAGGGCCCAAACGGATCCACACGATTTGACCACCACCAGACTTGTGGTACTCCCCAAACGGATTCGCATGGAACCCGACAACCCCAGTTTTTGTTCAGAACTTCCTTTTGGGGCACCAGGGGGATGAAAACCAAAACCACACCCAGCTCCAGTTACATGTTACAACTACTGTGGATGCACCACCTACCAAACCCAGGAACGATGAATGTCTGTCCAGGCCCCAGTTTATGTAGGCCCTGCCCATGAAGCCCTATGAATACTGGGATAAACCGTGAACTTGGTCAATCAACCCCTGGTTGCCCTTCGAGGGAACTCCATCTGCAATCTTCTGCGTGAATCGCCAAAACACTTTAGCCACCCCATCCTTGCAACTGAGGAACCCACTAAACAAAGCCACTTAGCCGGTGAAATCTCTGGGACTCCGGTATATACCCCAAACAAGTCACAACCGAGCTCAACCCAGCAACCCTCGGCTGAGAAAAGGACAAACCAGAATGAGGTAGACTTAAACCTAAGGGGTTGCCCTGGGGAAATCAACCACTGGGTTTGTATTTTGAGCGAAACATGGAATGGGACAACGAAATCTCACGGGCGATTCCCAATTCTTTTCAACCACCCGGTCAACACGGAATTCAAAAGCGATGTGGCGCGCCAAAACAAATCTTGCAACGCAAAGGTAACCTCATCCGAAATCCTGGGTTCAACCCAGGCCTCGGGAAGAAGGATCGCTGGAAGGGGAAGGGGGTGTCTTACCCGAAGCATGCGTCTGGGATTCAAACACTCGACCCCTTGCACATGTCGAGATTGCTTGGTTGGGAAACAACCCAATATTCCGATTTTCTGGGTGGTTCCGTCCTTCAATCAATGCCCCGGGTGAGGTCTGGCTACATGTTGAAACACTTCCAATCCGTCTCTTGGCCATCGACCCCCTTGTGAACTTGTTGCTACTGATGGAACCTTAAAAAAACACAAAGATCCAAGTGATACAAAGGTAGAGTCTGGCCATTTTTCTCCGCGGCCTCACAGAACTGCACAACCAAAAACATGCAAGGCGGCCGAAACGGCTTTGAGCGCCCAGCTGACAGGGGAGTCGCTGTTCGTGTCAGCCGTGCCCTTCAAATGGCCACCCGTGGGTGCAACCAATCAATACACAGGTCCAATGTTCGACTTCCCAAAGACCCATGTGGGTGCTTCCTAGAATCAAACACTCCCCAAGTGGGCGACATATTAATATGGAAGTGGGTCAAAACTAAACAACCAGGGGACTGCAGATTCTAGTTCATAATTTTGGGTTCCCATTTTTGATCCGCAGCCATATCTTCAATGTTTCCTTGGTTGCCTAGATTTCTCATGGGCTGAATTTGGTTTGGGCCACTGGTGGAAAGGGCATGATTGGTTGCCTCGGAAAACAATCAAACCACCCGCCGGAAGGGAGAGACCAAGCTGAATAGACCATACTGTGCTGTGTTTCTTGTCCAAAAAAGCCACAAGACCTTTGATTGTCTTTATCAAATCCACGGTGTGCCATGGGCGAAGTTGCCCAACATGGGCCGCTGTTTGATAGACTCATAGTTGTTGCTTAAAGCGCGACCTTCAAATACAAACAATCCCACACGCCTGCCCAACCCGGAAAAACGTCCGCCCCCCTGTTTACCCACGAGGAAAATTGGAACACCCTCCCACTCCTTCCATTTCTTAAGCCCCCTGGAAAAAAGAAATCCAGTAGTGATGGATTCCTTTTAGACCAACAACAGGGGAAAGGAAGACTCAGCCACCGACCAAACGAGCGAGCCAGTCCGAGCCCTCTTCCGACAGGCGCCGTCGGTGCACGAAGACGTCGGAGTGGTAGTCCCAGATGCGGCCAGAGGCCAACTGGAAGCAGAACCGGTGCCGTCGCTCCGTGGCGTGGTCCTGCGGACAAGTTTTTTCTGGACTTGTCGTTTTTTTTGCGTGTTTGAGCCAGTCCGGGATGAAACACATGGGTCTGGGTCAAAACCCCGTACCCCCAGTGAACATCCCAATCCCCACCAACATAGACAACAATGGGTGGTGCACCTACCGCAAAAAAGTACCATTGGTGTTGACCCACGGCCACATGGATTCGTGGACCCCCAATTTGGGGCCTTAGGGGCTAGCGCTAGGGGATATTCCTGGACAAGCCTAGGATAAGCCCTAAGGCTTTAGTCAGCCATAGGTGTCCTAGAATTCCATGGTAGATCGTCTTTGGATTGCAATAACATAGAACAAGTACTATACAACATAACTTCTGGCTGATGTTTTCTTTATTGGAGTGTGAGGTCACCTTCTTGGATGTACCAACTTGCATGGAGAAACTTTGGCTGGGGTTAGTCCCCTTACAAACGTGGCTATAACCAACCTGGCAATTCTTCTATAACCATGGTAACATTCCCCAGTTGATCCTGGCGAAAGCGAATGGAACAACAACTGTTCTGTACATCCCTGCAAATTTACATGGAACCGTTTGATCGTTTTGTGCCGGGGGGAGGGTGTCCTCCAAAAGGAGTGTCCTCTTTCAATAAGAGTCTGTTCAAAGGTTCCATGTGAAGTGGAGGGGGAATTGGGGGGGATGGTGAAACCGTATAGTTGAAAAGATTCCGAACTATGGTCTAAACACCAAAACAAAGCAAACCCAAGGACACCACCCAGCTGGTGTCAACAGGCTTCTAGCTGGAGTCACCATCTTTCCTCTTCTTGGAGGTTAGAAAAAGATTCGACTGTAGTCCTCGGGGTTGGGCCTGCAGAAATGCCTTGTCGAGTTTAAAACCACGCAGCCTGCAAAAACCTTTCAGAATTTCGGCAGTTTCAAAGTCCCCCGGCAATTCATCATTTGGGGGTTTCTCAAAATTTGGGGATCCCTCTAGGTGGGTGGCTTCTTTTGGTTTCCTCAAAAAACATCCCAAAAAGGGGTGCCCTATAAGAGAGAAAACCCCGTTGCAACTGACCCCACATCACCACAAAAAAACATAAAAACAAATAAAAAGGAGAAAAAAAACACGCCTCCGGCCGTCTTTTTTTGGGCGTCCTTGGCGTGGGCGTCTTTGTACCTCCCACAGCCCAGGTGCCCACAGATGAGGCAGGCCCAAAGGTCTTCCTGCTGCTGGCAGCATTCACACCTCAGGTCATACCAACGGCGGGCGACGCCCCACAACTCTAGGGAAAGAGTCCCCTTTCATCAAACACCTGGGAAAAAAAGCGGTTGTTTGAAAAGGAACGATGGTTGAAAAGAATGAATCAACCCCTAGAACAACCCGCGAATTTGGTTTTCCTCCCAATAAGGCGGCGGAAGAGGGATAGCGGGGTGGATCCTATGATCCTGGGGGGTGTTGGGGCAAGCCCCCAAAAAACGTGCCAGACTTGAGGACAGGCTGTCGCGTCTAATCCCCAGATTCGTGCAAACGAATAGGGATTTGGACCACACAAATTCGGACTTTCCTTTTGGTTTGCCTCTAAGCTAACCTAAAAAGGGAACCGTCAAAGAAAACAAACCCAAGTGCCCAGACCAACCCCAAAATTGCGGCAAACTACCGTACATACCAGTGTCACGGTGCCTCCTTCCCAAACCAACAAAAAACATATACCCCCCAAATCCAACCCGAAATCCCACACCAAATCCAAATCCCCAACTCCCCGCCCAATCCCCGCCCATCCCACCCCACTCTCCGACTCTCCCCCCCTTCGCCGCTTCGCCTCAGCCCGCTTTCGGTGCCGCCCTCCGCACTCGCGTCACAGATCACCGCGCAGGCCACGCAGCACGGGGGCCGCTTGTCGCCGATCCAGCCGTGGGAGTGTGTCACCATGCCGGTGCCTGAAGAAAAACGAGTCCAGCGGACGTCCAGTTGGCTAAGACCCCTGGAAAAATATAAAAACATTTTTCCAGTAGTGATAGATTCCCTTTGAAACCAACTGGGGAGAATAAAACATAGTTTGGTTCACAGGGTTGACAGGGTGCCTTTTCGGTCCACAGGAAGTCCGGTGCTTCAGCAACCCAATGCTTGCGTTCCGTTTGGAAGTAAACCCCCTGGAAAAATTAGAAAAATGATGTCCAGTAGTGAAATCGATTCCCTTTAAACCAACAGGGGAAAAGAAAACATCAACACTTAAGCAAATGGAAGCTGGTTGGGCACAAATGGGTATGGGTCAAAATTAAAAACGACCAGGAATTGGACCACAGGTTTTGGTCCATGTTTCCACTTGCCAGGGCAACCCATTTGCGCTACCTATTTGTCACCCACAGCCAGCTGACGTCCAAATTAAGAAAATATGTCCAGTAGTGAATTAAGAAAACCAACAGGGGAAACATATTCTTAAGCAAATGGAAGCTGATTGGGCACAAGTCACTCCGATGTGCAGTTAGTTCCCGTTTGTCCTGGACAAAGACCACCTAGCTGTTTTGGCCGCTGTGAAATACTAATAGTAATGATAACATTAATAACAATAGTAATAATATTTGGATAACAAACGTGATGATATTAAGCAACATGACGAATGTCATGTTCTTGTTATAGTAAATGTTTGAATGCATGACGCTTGCTGCAAGCGCCCCTTTGACCTCAAGAAAGGTTGGAAAAGCACACACTAAATCGACTTATGGAGAGTGAAGAACATTGATGTCTCTTTCTTGGTATGAAGCGAGTGTGAGTGTCCCTCAAAGTAACAAAAGCTGACACTGCCTGGTTTGCCTTAATCCATGCGGACGCAAGAGACTTGCAACCATGATGCGTCCAGCCAACCAGAAGCAGATTGGGGCAAATACGCCAAACACCGACCAACTTGGACTTTGTTGGTGTTGACCCCTCTGCAAAAAGCTTAGCTTTTTTGTGGGTTCAATAGAAATCCACGGTTTCCCGAAAAGTGTTCAAGTCCAAAGATCCAATAGCCAGAACATAAAGTGGACTAAATTCTTGAACCTCTGCAGTAAAGAGCACGAAGCCCAAAGTGTCACAGTGCAAAATGGTCAACAATTTCGCCGGGAACAAAGGGCTCGGTTTATTGGCCAATATGAGTAGCCAACAATACCACCAAAAGCCGATAGGGGACAGGCTAAATCCGATACCAATCGGTGTGCAAAACTGATAGACCACCCACATTCGCCACAGTAAAAAACCTCATTTGGGTCCCACCCACCGCAGGAGATTGTGGACAGGCGAAAAAGCCATTGTTAGGAAACGGGTGCTGGTGCTATTTGGGCGTTCACGTACGCTGCGGTCATGTTTGCCCGATCGTTTTCCGGGTTCGGACATGACATTTATGGTGGTTTCCCTGTGATTTCCATTCAAACCGACCCCAAAAAGGCTACTTTGATCAAGACAGACCCATATTGATGTGACGCCGTCTCGCAAAACAAGTGAATGCCCTGACCCAAGCTGTTGATGTTGCGAATCTCTGACCTCCATTACTGTAGCTAGGCCCGCTGATTCTATACATATATATATATATATGTATACATATATATTAAACACTGGAAAACAAAACAGCTCAAGCCCACCAAACCAGGGTCCATAGGGGGCGGGGTACCATACATATGTTTATGAATATGAGGTGCACGCCGCTTCCTTCACTTCTGGTCACAAGCAATGTATAACATGTATCCTAACTCAATCACGCCAACTTTCACCATGGCCGGGCCAAGCCCTTGCTTAAACATGTTGACACCATCATTGCCTAAGCAAGCTTCATTTAGTGTCCCTTCAAAGGGGATCCGGGGCTGGTTGTCTAAACAATTTTCGACCAATCCCGACTTTCACACTCTGCCCTTGGCCCTGCCGGAGACGTCAATGCGCTCGATGCACACCGGGCAGGATGGGATCTCGTAGGCGGTGCTGGGAATGACCGATGTGTCGGAGCAAGGGTCGGAGGATGAGGAAGAGGATGCCTCCTGCAGGATGGGCCGTTGGCCAGAAATGTCAACATCAACGCAACCACAAACTGGGTTTGTTCCCACTTGGTTGCTGTAGATGCAGTTTATTTCATAAGTTTTCACGTGGCATAGTGGGATTCAGCTCCGGTAGTTGGATGTCAGATATGACATCAGTGCAATCATATTCCCCAGAATAGCATGTTAGGAACAAACAATTGCAGGGGGTAAACAGGTAAAGGGCCTGTTTGAAATGCACTGCTTCTCCCGAACAAATTGTAGCTTTGCTGACTTCGAGCGAACTGCTCGTCTAAAGCAAACATTTTGTCAGCATGACATTTGCTATCCCTTTGTCAAGGATATAACTGGATGCAGTCACCTATCTCGTAGGCGGTCAGAGAGTGCATCTTTGGTTGCTAGCGTCTCACGGGAGTGACCAACAAGAATGTGGGATTACCCTCCCACCAACTAACCGGGGGGGTCGTGGCATGGACCATTTTCCTTGCAAAGGGACCCCGGTCAGGTTCCATGTTAATCGGTGGGCGGGTACCTAAGGTTGCCGCCAGATTTGCGAGTGATGTCAATCCTCAGTTGCCCCTTAGGGACTCAGAAATAGAAGTTTCACCTTTTGGGACCATGACAAAATATGCAGAAGGTTCACCTTTTGGGACCATAAAAATATGGACCAAAATGAGAAAAGCAAAAGGTCATTGCAGGTCGATCCGCTTTGAACCAACAAAACTCCATCCGGATCGATCCGGATACTCGATCCGAGCAGCGAAGTCGGGGGATTCAGCCTGGTGCCTGGAAAAAAAATATACATCAAATCCGGACCTGCTTGAGGCACTGTGCGGATTGGAACAGGGGCACAGTAAACCATGGAGGTTTAAAAAGATCCCATTCATTTACCCAAAGGTGGCCCCCCGTGCACAATCCAAGCCGAAGGAGTTCGGTCCGTGTACACGATGGCCTCTAGAAAGGCCAAGTAGCAGCAAGGGCCCTGGTCAGAACTGTCCTCTCCTAGCGACGTGTCGGTGTTGAGCCGGTTTTTTTCCAGGATGATTCGGGGAACCCATTTTACAGGAGTACTGATGATCTGTGCAGGGAACTTGGAACCCCTTTAAATTTAGGGTTCTCCCAGCAGGCAGTGACGCCTGAGAGGAAACGGGCACCATTTTCGGAGGTTGATCATTGCAAGTGGAGAACCCACCCAAGATTCTGGGAAAGCGGCACTGAACAACTGGGCTTTGAACTCCGGCCAGGAGGGAAAAACCGTTTTACATCGTTTTACGTGATTGATGAGCGAGCCTTGCGCGGTCCTCAAACACGCAAATCAACGAGTGTAAAGGCCCTAACAGCTTCTTGGGGCCAACCAGTACGCGTTTTGGGCCAATGTGGAGCGACACCAAAGGACAACCGCACGTTGTTGGGCCACATGCTGTGGCACATACCTTTCCGGCAGGTGGCAAACATCAACAAGGATCACAAACTAGTTTTTAGATGTTCTATGATATTCTTGTAAGCAAGGAAATTGACCACTATTCAAATTTGGTCCCCCATCAAACAAACAGACAAACAAAGCAAGCAAGCAAACAAAGCAATCAAGCAAGCAAGCAAACAAAGCAAACAAAGCAAACAAAGCCAGCCAGCAAGCAAGCAAGGAAGGAAGGAAGCAAGCAGGCAGGAAGGACGGGAGGGAGGAAGGAAGGATGCAGGCGGGCAGGCAGGCAGGCAGGCAAACAAACCGGCAGGCAAGCAAGCAAAAGCAAAGTAAGCGAATCAAATCGAACCAAACCAAGGATTCACCCTCCTGAAAGTTCAATTGCAACAGCACTTGTTCCGCTTGCTGCAGACCGTGTAGGTGGGAATCTCTTTGACTTAAATGCTTTGCGGCTCTCGTTTTCTTTGGGGTATCAGACTATCAGAAGGAGCCGCCGAACTGAGTTGTTCAAAATGGGGGTGGGGGGGGTGGGATCCCTAGAATCCTAAACCGTAATCCACGGTCCAAAGGTGCTTGTACATACCCCTTGGACAAATGAACCAAAAGGCCTGCTGATGTTCATACCCCTCTCCCCAAAAGGGGTATATACTCCTTACAAAGTGGGTTGGAAACCACGGAAGCCAAGGGGTATGAACAAGTGGTATGTACTTCCATCCTTGGACACAGGAAACCGACCCAAAGCTATGCCCCCCTTCCCGTCCTTTGAAGAGCCTGCCATGGTTGGCTTTGTACAAGGCGTCCGCAGCTGCTTGGCTGCGGCAGAGCCTTGACTCGTCTGCTCGTCTTCCAACATGGGGTTTTGTATATTTCTGATCCATATGTCAGGTCTTCGCAACAAGTGACTAAAGCGCAGGAGCTGAGGGAGGTCCAACACAAGACTGTTTTGGAGGTTAGAATCCAGAGGGTCCAAGTACCTAAGGAGGTACTTAGACCCCTTTTTACCCCGCAAAAGTCATCCTCATGAGGTACTTGGACCCTCTGGGGAATAAAGGTACCCACTTTTTTCGTTCTTGTCTGTTTTACTAGGGGAACCTCCCCAAAAAAAGAAATGGGTGAGAAAGGGCACTGCGGGGACCTAGCTAAGACCAAGGAACATCCTCAGTCCAACCTCCGCGCCCGGAACTGTCTCCTGGTTTGCCAGCCAGCGCTGGCAAGGCAAGCCATGCACATGTCAAATCGTTCCGAAAGGAGTATCCTAAGAAACCCACCCACATATGATTCCAAAACGCCCTGTTGAAGTAAGATATCAACTGCCAAAGCCTGCTTTGCCAACACTTGCTTTCAAAACCGGAGACTTCCACTTGTGAGGTCTGCTTCACATCACTTGGATGTACCCGCTGGACTCATCTGTCTTGTTTACATAAACCGCTGCAACGACACGCGTGTTTCAGCAAACCCGAGTTTCGTGTCACACCCCGCTCCACTTGATGTTTGAGGCCCCCAAGAGTTTCAGCCGAAGAGAATATAGCCGAAGTTATAAGGGGATACTGCCAACCTTGATCTCCACGACTTCACTGCCACTCGACAGCCTGTTGATCTCCACGACTTCACTGCCACTCGACAGCCTGAACCAAACAAACCCCACACCTGGTCTCAATGGAGAAAAAACTGCTCAAACACTTGGCAAGTGCTCACCCCAGGTTCCTTCCTTCCATCTGGAAAAATGATAGCAACCTAAAAACAACTTGCTTTTTCTCCAGCACTCAAACTTAAAAAAAAAAAAAAAAAAAAAAAAAACGTGAATGAGGGGTGTTATCACAGCTTCGCATGGCCGTTGCATTTCCGCATGTGGTGCCTTCAGCGCTTACAAAAACCGTCACATGTTTGTACTCCAGACCGCTTACACTACTCGGCAAATTAACCTGGAGCTGAAAAGGGGGCCCCAACAGGAGGCTCCTCTACAAATGGTTTGGTTTTTTCACAAATCGCGAGCGCCCTTGTCTGCAATGCCCCTCGCAGGCAGGCAGCGCGCACGCCCCACCCTACCTCCCCATCCCCCTACCCCACCCCCCCAGCCACCAACTCCATCCAACCTCCGTGCACTTTTGCTTGCAAGAAATCGATGGCAAGGGCTCCAAGTGCGCAAAATCCAACCAGGAGTCTCCGTAACCTGGATTCGTTTGGGGATTTGAACCCCCTTTTGCCACCAAATGAGAAAGGTGCCCCATGATGTGCAATCCACGAAACTAGAGCACCATTTAGGGGAGAAGGTGATCTGAGATAACAATGTAGCCATCGCTTTGGAGTACCCCGTTTTAGGATCATGGAGTCTGCCTTTTGAACCTCAGGAATGGTTGCTCAAAAGGCAAACAGCCGTCCCCCGGCCCCCCAAAAAGCTGAACAAAAGAAAAGTGCGATTGAAAAGCCCCCCGCAAAAAAAAAAAAACACAATAAAATCAACTAACAATAAATTAACAATAAAAAGAAAATGAACAAAAAACATGTTATTTCCTCGTTCACTTCCAAAGGTCCAGCAAACCACCCACCCACCCAACCCCCCGGCTGGTTTTGCCGGGCGGCAGTACCGCAGTGAAGAAGCCCGGGCTCTTCGCGCCTCGAATCCAAGTTTCAGCCGACTGCGTATGAGGGAAGCGGGACCACCCGCAAACCATCAGCGTCTTTTCTACAAAGCCCAATGCACGGTTTTTATACGTAATAATCATATATATATATATATACACATGGGTTGTCCTATATTATTTCACCCAGGCTTGGAAATGTTTGTACGCACTCGCACAGCGCTTGCGTGGACTTGCGCGCGGACTGACACGCAGAAACAAGTGTTCGTTTACCTCGGTTTGCGCAGTTTTTTGTGTGGTTTGTGCGAGCTATTCAAGAAGCAAATTCATTCGAAGGGCATTCAAGGCAAGGAAAGTGTGTGTTGCGGATGCAAAGCTGTTCCTTGAGCCGCGCCGCTAAGGACATCCGAGGCGTCTGCGCACAACTTGTGCGCAGAGCAAAGATTTGTGACTTCCATGAAGCTAGGCAACATCAGTTCATTAATCTTGCGCATCCCTTGGTCCGCACTTGCGCGCTCCCTGCGCGCGCGCAGCTATTGTCAGCTTCTACTTCTCCCCGTTCGGCAACCAAACACAGGGGTTTTAGGACAACCCCCACATAGAAGGGGTCGATCCAAAGGTCCGTTCCATGGAACGACGATCAAAAAACAACCAGGATGGCTTAACGGGAACAGTTACCCGTTGTCATTTGGGGGCCAAGAATTTTGATCCACCCCCATACAATTTTGATCCACCCCCAATAATTTTGAGCCAACAGTTGCTTGTTTCAGTTTTCTATTTCGTCTTACTCGACCGGGACGCCAATTGGATCTTCTCCGTACCTTGGGCTTTCCGGGACTCCGTTGGCCACGCTCGACTTAGTAACCCAAACCATCCTTTGAACAAGGAAACTGCCCCAGAACCCTTGGAAAACAGAAATAGCCTTTTAGGGTCATGACTCAAAACGACCATGGGAAAACCAAAGATCAGGTCGGCTTTGGACTGAGTAAAAGGAACCCTGGCTGGTGACCCTCTATTGTGATGGCAGGGATCTGGAGCGAAACCAACCCCATCGAGTTTTAAGGAATGAAAGGAACATGGTCATCGACGGGCAAATGGAACTCGTAACAATGCAACAACCATACAAGCCCATCTATGTCATACCCCACTTTGTGGTAAATGTTTTTTTTTTCAAAAACTCCGACTCCAAACAATAAATGCGAATCTGACCTCTGACCCAATGGTTCAGAACCAGCCCCTGGGATCATTCGAGAAAACTTCATACTGGCATACCGCCACCTTGAAGCCACTGGACACAATCCGCAGTTATTGCTCTCTTGCTCATTGCTTTGGGGGCCTGGTAAGCGCACATGCTTTTCGCAGGGGCCATTCTAATATTCAGGGTCCGGGTTCCCCTTTGTGTCACATCATCGCCCACAACGTCGTCCCCTAGTGCAGCTCCGCTTCTTTTCTGCGCAAACAAGACGGGAGTTTGGCTCAGGCTAGGGTTAGGTGGACTCTGTGGAGTTCATAAGAGGAAACCCAAACCAAGACACACATCGCAACTTATTCCTCACCTATGTATTTATTTTTAAACATCACCCCATGAAATTGAAACTCGCTTTGCACAAACAATCGTGTTCCAAACCAACCTTCAACAAAAACCTGTAGGCCATAATGAAACTTATTTTTTAGGATTTTTAGGTCATGATCATGGTCCCTTGCGTGAAAGCCTTGCTAAAGATTCCATACCCTGCCTTCTAAGTCAAGTAAACGGGTCTTGCGACCATGTCACGTTTGAGCCCCAGACAAAACAAACACGTTTCTTCAGAAGGACATGAGAAGCTCGGGTAACCCCCATGGCTTTGTCGGAAAGACCCCGCTTCTCGTCCTCCCCAACTATCACAAACTACCTGTCGGTTGCTCTCACGAGCAACGACATCATTACCAGGCTATCGTGTTCTTTGTGGGCCCCAATTGTCGGGTATTCAATGAAAAAAACGATGACCCAAGTCAGTTCTCTCTCTCTCTCTCTCTGTCTCTCCGTGTCCGCGGGTCTCTGTTGAAACCGGGAACCCCATGGCGGTTTTCCCCGCATAAATAACACTCCAAAGCACTCCAAAAGCACCATCATGCACCATCTTTAAAAAACACACACACACAACCAAACAGAGACAGAGACGGAGACCAAGGCTCGGTTGCTTTCTGCTCCCCTGCTGAAAGTTTAACTCTTAGTGGTTTAATGGAAAACCAATTTGTTGGCAAACAGATAAAGTCCTAACATCCAAGCAAAATGCACCAAAGAAGGCACAGCGCTCACACCTCTCGTCTGTCGCGGGCTGTGGTCTGAATTTTTGCCGCGGCGCCGCCTTGCAGCACCCGCATCGCCTCGATGCCGCTGCTGAAGAGGCTGCTGCCGGCATCCAGGAAGTCTTCCAGGGCCTCAAAAAACAGCCTCAACTCGGCTTTTTTGTCACTTCCCGGCTTTTGTTCAAATCACTTCCCAAGCGGACTAGCCGCAAAAAAGATCAAACTTGATCCCTGGGCGGTTTTCTCTTCCTCGCCACCTGCAATGGAGGGCGGCCAGACTTTGGTGTGTGTGTGTGTGTGTTTACCTTTTCGTCGCCCCATGCGAAACGCCGTGCCGGCTACGGCTGGGGTGCTTTGTGTCTTGACGGAAAAGAAACAAAACATGCATCCAGTTGAAGGGGCACGCGCCTTCTTTTGCAAAGCCCCAGGTGGCTTTCCTCTCGCAAGCCTTTTTTCCCGTGCTCCAAACTGAAGCATAGGTAAATAGACTGGGCTGCCCTCCGCTCCCCCGCTAAAAGTTTTTAACTTCAACCCACAAACTACCGCTAAACACTAAAAATATCTAAAAGGCTAAGGAACCAGATGGCTGGGAACCACCAAGTAGAATAAGCTTCCCGGAACGTGATGCACCAACAAACAGGGGGGGTTCCCACAACTGCACCCCCAACACACCCCTGACAAACACGAATGGATGGCACCAAAACCCCCAAGACCTGACCGAAGCCTCCGTGACGCATTTCGGGGTTTCACTGCCTCGACTCCCAGCCTCCGGCGACAGCTCCGAGGGCGCTGCCACCAGCAGTAGGGCGCTGGTCCTGGGTCTTGGCGTCATGGGCGTCGTCTTTTTGTGGAGGGACCCCCCCCGGCGTGTTGCTGGGTCTTAAAGGGAAACCAAAGGAAACACGTTGCGTCTGTGCGTGTGGGAATCACCACTGGGTCTTAAACGGAAAACAAAGGGAAAACCCTGGCGCGGCTGGTGTATGATGGGCTTGTGGATTTGGAATGCGGTTCGGATCCCAATGGCAACCAGTGACTCGTACTGTAGGGCAAAATAAGCCCAGGTGGTAGTCCCATCCCCGGAACCCCCTGAAACCCTCCTTTTGAACCCTGCCCCAAAAAACTCCACGAGAGCTTGGGCAGGTTGGCGAATGATAGGGACTCTCATTTGTTGCGCGGAGTTGGCTGAGGCCCGTAAAACAGACTTCCGACGTCAGAGATGGACCACGTGTATGGCCCCATCTGAAAGACTGGCATAGTACTTACTCCACATCAAGAAGACTGGCTTCCAACTCCTTCGACCGAGACATCCGCAGGTGCCCCTTTTGCCTCTGGCGTGGGTTCTCTCTTGCAAAATCAACCCAACCATGGCCCTCCCTGGCAAAAAATATGTCTTTCTTTGCAGGAGATGTCGGAATGGATTCGGTCCTCAAACAGTCTCGTGCACCCTTGAGGTCTGTTGCGGGGTCATTCACAACATGGTCAGCGCACACACCCTTGTCCAATCGATTGGCGTTTAAAGGGAGCACCACCTTGGGGAAATGCGCGGGAGGGTTCTTCCACCAGATTCCCCATCCCCTTGTGATGTCCTGAAGTGACAATGCAGTAGTTCTTGTGGGTTGCTTGACATCCAACAAAGTCATGATTCAAGCTAGAGGCCGCAGCAGCTGAGATTCCGGCTAACGTTTGTTGACAAATACTGAAGTGAGAAGGACTTCCAACGCATAGCGAACATGTCGGCCTCTCAAAAGGTTTTGATTCCGGGATATGGCCGGTAACGGGCCGTGTTTGGCAAAATAATTTAAACAGGAACCCCCTGTTTAGACTGGCTGGTGGACATATACATCCATCCCCCAAACAGTGTGCACCAATGGGTCCCCATTCTCGTCTGTGTAATGGTCATTCCCGCCCCCCATGAACTACCTTTCCTTCTTTCTTCATAAAATGACTGCACAAAAAATAATATATATATATATAAAACCCTGAGAAACCCTCAACCTGCCAGCGGAGGCGGTCCTTTGGATGGGCAGCGCGTCCTCCAAGTTGGCCCCCGCACCGATGGCCTCTTCCGATTCCAACTTTTCCCGATGTCCGGAGGGCAAGAATCGCCAACCGAGAAAAAGCACCGATTGCTCCCCCCAAAAGAAGAAAGCTCCAGTCATTGTACAGCTATTTGGCCATGGGTCAAAAGCCCAGACCCCCAGTGAACATCCCAATCCCCACTAAAATAGACTAAAATGGGTGGTGCACCTGCCCCAAAATGGTTCCATTGGTTTTGACCCACAGCCATTTCTTTGTGAAGTCTGAAGTTACATCTCTGGCAAGAGACATGCTGGGATCCGTAAGTGAAACTTTCGGAAGTTCTTGTGCAAAATGCAATTGTTTACTCCCCCGCAGCTTGATGTAATGAAATCCCGTGATACCCTCGCTGTCAGACTGACGTGCAGTTCATGCCTGTCTGTACCGCTGGAGGGGCTCCTCTTCTGGAGGCTGTCGAGTCATCTTCCAGGCTCCATGTGCTAAGTCTGAGTGTGTCTTTCGTTGGTGTTCCCCGAGTCCCGCTTTCCAACTCCATTCACACATGACACCCCTGACCGAATCGGAATCCCACAGGCGACCCGACCACGAGCAACAAGTGATCAGTTCTTCGAGCTCAGCAGTACACAATCATGAAGTCTTGAGAAACAGAGTGCAAACTGGGGTCAAAGGCAATCTTTAAACTCCCTAAGCCAAGAGAACCCAAAAAACGAGCCACCAGAACCCCAACGCCGCTTTATGGTTGCCACTGACTCCGACGGCCCACCGCCTGCCAACCAGAAACCCCCCGAAACGAGACTTCGATCTGAGGCGCTCGGAAGATCTTGATGGCGCCCACCTGGAGCCTTAGTACTTGGGAAGGACGTTGGAAGGGGAGCAAAAAAACAATAATTAGCAGTTAAGCGGTGGGATTTCAACCACTAAATCACAATAAGCAAAAATGTAAAATGTTTCCCAACAACAACCATGAGTAGGGCTTGGATGATGAGTACAGGGCTCCCTATATTTCCCCTTAAAACATCACCCCCAGGGGTACTCACCTTTCACGGGCAAAAAAGGTGATGGTTAAAACAGCCAAAATGGGAGATATAGGGACCCCTGTAGTAGGGCTTGGATGCTGTTGCTGAGGTTGCTGTTGTAGCTGGTTGTTGCTCGGTCTTGCGGGTGGTCCCCGACAAATGTGTGGCTGGGAGGTCGGGCTCTCGGATTAAAGCAAGAATGATTTCAGCGGAGTGCCGCCCGTTCTGCAGAACTCACCTGGTCAAGCACGGAATCCAAGACGTACACAAGTGACACTGAGCCGCCGAAACTGACACAACACAAACACTGAACGTCAAGACAACGGAAGGCACCCAAAACCAAAATCGGCCACGCAACACGTCCACAATGGCTTCAGCATGATGAGCATCTTTGAAGTCCTTCAGCTGCTCGTAGACTCCGGAAGACGGACATGGAGTTGGGGGCTGCCGCGGGGAAACCACCAGGAGGTAGTACACCATGGCGGCCCCGCGCAAAGGAACCCACGACTTGCGATGCCTGTGTGGAATAGTTTAAGCTGATGGAAAGGCATGGAATCAGAAATGAAACCATTGCTATGTTTGCTAAATGGGTATGATGGCAATCAAGCAGCTGAAAGGGTCGTGGCAACGGCAAGGCTTGCCGTGTTGCAAAGGACATGTCAATTCTGTCTTCTTGCATGTGGAAAAAAGCTCACCCTAGGATTCCAACATACATGCTGAGCCTGTTCAGATCAACCAGACCAATTCCAGAGCTTCCGGCTGGAGCTTCCGGTAGTTGTCGTTAGCCAACTTGCGCAGCTTGCACCGCTAGGTGTGCATCGCTTGGTAGGCTTGGTCCGGAAAAGTTTGATGCTTCCTTTGTTCAGTGAGTGTTCAATTCTGGCTGAGCTAGGTGTCAGAAGGCGAACGACACTCATCTAGGTCCTCCAGTAGAGAGGTTAGAATACGGGTACCCCTTTTTGCGTAGTCTATTTTAGTAGGGGAACGCTCCCCCCAAAAAAGAATCGGTAAAAGGGCAATATTGGGGGACGGGGGGCCTAGCTCATGCTTACATCATGGCACGACTAACGGCTGGTTCAGCCTGGAGCCCAGCGTCGCGCGTCCTCGTGTCGGCCAAGTCCCTGGGGATCTCCGCGGCCCCGTTTTCAGCAAACGTGGAGGTGGAGACGAGGGCGCCTTTTCAAGAGGATGCTACCCTCCCTTCCACTAACATAGCACCTGTGGGAGGGTACCTGGGAGATGATTTTCCTCGTCAATGGACCCTCCGTCAGGTTAGTGGAAGGGATGCTAATCTTCCGAAACCCAGCGGTCAAATCCAATAGAGTCTGCCTTTGCCGGTTTTCCGGCAAAGATGTGTTCGAATATTTGTTCAAGTTGGACCCTTGCAACTGGTTCTACGCTGCGGGATCCCAAACATCTTCCCATCGAGGTCAAACGGTATCAACGTTTTAGGCGAGCGCATATGCTTGCGCTTCCCCAAACCGCCACGAAATGAAACCTGCAAAGCGCCAAGCCAGCCAACCCGAAGCGGGTCACTGACTGCCATCAGATCGGTGGGGTTGTCCTTTTGTGAGGGCCACCGTGGAAGTCTCATCCAGACGACAGTCGTCTTGCAAAAGGGAGCACCATCTAGGCAAATTCTCAAGATTAAACAAATTGAAATAATCTTTCTGGGGGGGGGGGAAGTCTCGTACTTCTGCATCTTGGCAAAGTTCAACCAACAAAACAAATGCAAAATCAGGAATCCCCAACTTTGAGATTAAAAGAACCTTCATGGGTGCTGGTTCTACGCCCAGAGCTGGTTCTCATGCGCCTCCCGCCTCCTCAAGCACCTGGCGCCGCGTCTTGGATTGAATGTCACCCACCAGGGCCTCGCGGCTGAGAGGCGTCACACCAAAAACGCGGGGCAAAGGGGGGGCGGGGTGTGTGCACGTGGTGATCATTCTGTCAGGTTGCCGGCCGGGTCCTTCTTGTTTGAGGCATTCTGGCGCCTTGATATTCCATTGCCATATGGTCAGAGGATTGCTGACTCTGCTGGGCTGCGGTGCGATCTTGACTCCCGGCGGTGGGAATCCAACCTCTACTATATGCCACCTGGCCATGGTGGACAAGGTGGCACAGGTGGACTCACGCTTCAGCAGCTCTTGCCTGCTCTCGGTCCTATCATCCAGGTGAATCCCAATGGCCAGTTCATCTATGGTGTGGTTTATTGGTTGACGCATTCTGACCCAGGTCATTTGCCTGACTACTACAACCGCCTGAGCGACATGAACTACCAGCTCTGTATCCTGTGGGTCAACCATCATTGGGTCGTACTTGAAGGGCACCTGGGATCGCAAGAGGTACACCTTACAGTCTGGGGTGACGAACAGCAGTTCGATGAAGTCAGTTACAATCAGGTCTCTCAATCCCTTGCTTGTCACTTCCGTGATCATCAGCAGTATATTCACCTTGCTTCTCTCCATCCTCAAGCACTACCAGCATCATGTGGATCAGCAGCAGTTCTGTACCTTGCTTGGAGAACTGGCCTTCTAGTGGAATTTGATGCACAAGCAGAAGCTGAGCTCTATTACAGGCTCTCGTCATTTTCTGACTTGTCCGCAGCACCGCGTGGCTGGGGTCCTCCTCTCGATGCCCCTGAGGAGGCTATTGCAGATCAGCTTCAGAGACTGCTGCAGGACAAGGGAGTCCCACCTGATCGTTCCCTTGAACGTGCACACATGGCCATCAAGCGCATTGGCAAGGGTGAAATTGCAGGAGCTTTGGCTGCCAAGCAGCCTTGGTCAGTCCTCAAGGCCCTTGGGGCAAGATCCAACACCATCTTCCAGTTTGTCAAGCATGATGAGCTCCAAAAGAAGATCAGGGAGAAGGAAGCGTCTTGCTTTGGCATTGCCAAGTCCCAGAAAAACAACAAGGACAAGGGCAAGAAGAGCGACGCTCCTATTCAGGCCCATCAGATCAATGCCGAACACCTTCAGCTTCTTCCACAGACCTTTGTTACGAAGGACAACCAGGAAGTGAACCAACTTGAGCTGGATCAGCTGAAGCATGGCGCCACTGGGCTTGTCATTTGCAGCATTTCAGATGCAACTCCCTTCCTCAAGGAGAGCAAGCTTCTTACGACCAAGCATCTGGGCATCCTTACGGTTGGGATCATACCAGATGTTGTCAGAGGCCTCCTTACCTGTCATGATGTGCGCTATCCTGTGTTTCACACCGGGGCCAAGGAAGCGATCCTGGTTCAGGGTTCACTGATTCAGCTGGGTGAGGTCATCATCCTGAAGAATAACCTCTGCCAGGACCTTGTGGTCAGCACGATTGAAACCCAATCCATCAAGGTTGTGGTTTACCAGGACCAGTGGCCTCATTCTTGGACCAATTTTGCACAATCTCCGTTCAAGCACATCGTTGAGGCGTCTCCTACCTTCACACTTTGTACCTCAGATGGATGCGGGATCACGTGTGGGAAATTTCACCCACCATGCGATGTGGAGGGCATTGAGGCGGTCATCATGGATGTTTGGAGTAGAGCTTGGCACAATGACAAAGGAACTCAGATGGTGCGCATACCTTCAGCTGCCTCATGCGGGTGCCGACGGCAGCCAGCGAGGTGTTGCAGAGTGTGTCTGAGCTGGACAGCACGGTATCTTTGTCGAGCCTCGTGATGCCACAGGACGTGCTACGGATGTTAATTTTGGCGTCATTTGGATGAATGGTAAGTCCCTCAAGGAGTGCCTGCACAAGATCTCTACGACCCCTCGCTCCGTTGCTCTGGTTCGTCGGGGAGAGAAGTATGGAATTCGATTCCGGGCTTCTCAGCTGGCTGAGGCGCATCAGGCGCTCAAACCAGATGTGCCATTTGAGTACCTCCAGTATGACAAGGCTTTTCAGATCACTCCGTTACCACACGGCACGCAACGCACTGCAGTGCAAAAGTTGCTGAAGGCAGGGTAGTGGCGCGCCAAGCCGCTGCAACCTCGACATGGAGGCCCTCAAGGCATCACTTGGGAAATAGGTGCAGCGGATGAGCCCCCATCCACAGCGCTTCAGTACCAAGGAGGAGATGTCCTGGTCACCCAGATCACCAAGGAGGTGTCACGGCAATCGCAAGAGGTTCATGCCTCAGTGAAAGCAAGCAAGCAAATTCGCAGGACAACAACAGCCTCCGCCTCCTCATCTACCACTAGCGCGGATCCGTGGCAGCATGGACGTGATCCCTGGTCAGCCTGGTTCAACACGGCCGATAGTTCATCCTCCACGGCAGGCAAAGCAGCAGTGGACCGCGTCAAGCAGGTTGAGCATCGTCTGCGAGAGGATGTCAAGGCTGCGGTTCGACATGAGCTTGAGGCACAAGTGAATGGCCAGGATGTTGCGATGGCAATGGATGTAGAGCACCACACTCTCCTCGACGCTCGCATCGGCAAGATTGAATGCAACATGGCGGAGCTTCGTCAACAGAATGCCAAATTTGAGCAGTGGTTCTCTGAAGCTGGTCAGGCAAATGTTGCCACTGCTACACGGCTCCAACAGGTGGCCGATCAGGTCACTTTGCAGCAAGGTGAGATTTCGGCGCTCACTACCTCTTTCGGTGGGCTCAGGGCGCAACTTCAAGATGACATGCACACTGGCTTTGGCAGGCTCGAGGCGCTGCTTTCGGGCAGGTCCCGGCACGAGTGACGACACAGGCGTGGACACGCGGATTGGGATCACCCGTGTCCTGGCGCCTTGATGTGGTCCTATGCGGATGGGATAGGCCTGGATTTTGTGGCCTTGGTATTCTTCACACTGGTTCTCGGCAAGGGCATGGGGTTTGTCCTTCGAACTTGCGCTACTTCCTTTCCGAGTGGAAGCACCATCACTTTCTGTCCGGGCAAAGGGCGGCATGAATTCGTTTGGAACATCTTTTTCGGCTTTATCCGTGGCCTTTACATGCTGTCTGGCAGTTTTTCTGCCTTTTCGGCATGGGTTCTTGCACTTTTCTACGCGAATTTCATTTTGATGAAGGCGATTGCTCCACCCAGTTTCTCGTACAGCTCATGTCCCTGCGGAGATGTTCGGGGGAGGTGTCGCCTTGCCTGGCTGTTCCTGCTCAGTGCAGTTTTCTGCATTATTGGGTCGGGCGATGCCTCTCTCAGCGGACTCCGCCACTGGACACTGGTACAACGTTATGGAGAAGCTTTGCATCCGGGGCCCTCTTCAACATGGCCCTTGCGCATCGGCACCTACAATGCCGGAGGACTTAAAGGGAAGGAGCTCACGCTTCTCTCATTGGGTCCTGGGATCTGGAACTGCAATGAGACTCATTTGTCTTCTATCTCCACACCATCTTTTGTGAAAAACATTCGTTATCATACTGCTGATAGTCCGCTTGATTGGAGGGTGTATGCTGGGCATCCTGTTCCTCTTAGGCATGGATCAGCTACAGCAGGCTGCTGGAGTGGTGTTGCTCAGGTCTCCATCCTGCCTGGACGCCCGGTCAACCTTCAGTGGGCCCACGGCGAGTTTGAGCAGGG